TAGGACAGAGGCCTAGAGTGGCGGGATTGAAGAGTACATACTGAAAGAGAGGGGGCAGTGAGTCAATGGTAGCCTGCAAATGCAGCTTGATCTGAAATGGTGTGGGGTAGGAAGCAGTTTGGAAAACTGGACAATTTGTTTAGGATGGAGTAAATAGGGTGTTCTAAAGGTTAAATCTGGATGAGGAAACTCACGATTTGGACAGTACTGAAAACATCACCCCCCCCACACCACCTCCACTCCTGGTCATCTTTCCATCTCCAGCAGAATTAAGTTTTGTATGGAGAAACCCACGGTTGAGTTTCGCTCACTACAGTTAGTAAATGACCTTAAGTGACTCCTTAATGACCATTTCAGGGACTCATCTGCTGCCAATGCTGCTAGTAATCCAGTTTCATGGGGCCCCTTGTGGTGCGGTGGTAGTGTCCCTACCTCTGAGCCAGGAGGCCAGATTCAGATGTGGTCATAACATCTCTGAACAGATAGGTTGAAAAGATATCTCAATACATTAACCCAGTTGGAGGTGGGCATCTCATCACATACTGTACAGCTATCTTGTCAGGTCCCCAGGAGGAGTTGCGGGGGAGGTGCGGAGGGATTTGTCTTGATCAAAGACGTGGCAAATTGAGAGACCTCAAGTGCAGAGCAAAAGGCGACCCACTCAGAGCCCCTGCTCTGTCCTTGCTACTGAGCCCCTGCATCCTTCTCCCTTCTACACTCCCCCCTGTAAAAACCCCTTCCTGCCAGTAGTTACCTTTGGCCTGGGTCTCTACGATTCTGGTACTGTGAAGCCTCGATCTCCCTCCTCCATGTCACTGCTGAAGACAAGAGTCTGGTAGCTGTCCCAGGTGAGAACTCCACCCACTGAGGCTCTGACGCTGCTGGCCTCACTGTTGTCAGATTGGCCTGCGGTTGAGTGGGCCTACCCAAAAGAGGCAGTGGAGGTCCCTCATAGCATCTCTTTCTGGCAGGCAAGACCACCATCTCTCGAGAAACAGACCCTGTCAAACATTTCGGATTAATGACCTTTCATCAGGCTGTGGCACGCTTGGGACCATACTGGTCATGAAATCTTAGCCCTTAGTTTTATATCCATTCAACACAAGAATACATCTTCCTTCAGATTTTAACATTTTAATCACAACATATTTTGGCTGCTTTTCTGTTTCCGGGATAATATGTGTATAGTACATCTGCTTAAAAACTGACTGATCTGTTTCATTTTTGTCCTCAAAGGAATGACCTTATTGTGATTTTTGTACCTTTGTAAAAGACTTTAACACCTGCGTGCGTTCCAAATTTCACATTCATCTCTAGCCCCCGATAATCCCTTGCCTAACAAAACTGTATCCACCGCCACCCTAGAAATGTTCAATGACACTGCCTCTACTGAAGCAGAGGATTGAATGTTACATTTTGTTTCGGTTTAAGTGTGAATTGCATCAAGGCTTTTGGATGATTTTCTCACTGTATCTTACCAAAAGTGCCTCATCTATTATCTACCCAGACCCTCATGTCAAACCCCAGCCCTATCTTATCACATGCCATTTCCAGAGCACCTCGGATATCCCTGAGTTCAGAGTGGTCCTGGAAATATTGGATGCATTGTTAGTCAGCCTTCAAGATTTAGAAGAGTCTGGAACAGTTCCTTTAGATTAGCGAGTAGGCTAATGTTACCCCACCGATACGGGTAGCGAGGTAAATGTGGGAATCCATTGTAAAATATTTAAAAGCAAAGAACTTGAAAAACAGCAACAAGATCAGAGAAAGAGAAATCGTGCATTTCAAATCTACTGAAGTTTTTCAAGGATGTAACCATTAGAATCGATAAGGGGGAGCCAGTAAATGTGGTTTTAGTGGACTGTCAGAGGCTTTCAATAAGTTCACATAAGAGTCTTGGCATGTAAAACTAAAGCTTGTGGGATTGGCAACAATGTATTGACATGGATGGAGAACTGGTTGGTCGACAGAAAACAAAGAGTAGGAATAAATGGTTATTTTAAGAGTGGAGACCATGAGGACTGCAAATGCTGGAAGCCAGAGTCGATAGGTGCGAGGCTGGAAAAGCGCAGCAGGTCAGACAGCATCAGGGGAGCAGGAAGGTCAACGTTTTGGGCCAAAACCCTTCTTCAAGACTGGGGAGGGGGAGGGGAACCCAGAAATAAATAGAGGGAGGGGTGTGGGGGCTCAGGGCTCAGGGTAGGGCTGTATAGATGGTGATAAGTGGATGCAGGTAGGGGGTTATTGTGATTGGTCTGTGGGTGGGGTGGAGCGGATAGGTGCGTAGGAAGATGGACAGGTTAGGTCAGATCAGGGAGATGAGGAGGAGGGAGAGGGCTGGACATGGGATAAGGCTGGGGGTGGAGGGATTTTGAAACCATTGTGCTGTAAGGTCCCAAGGAAAAATATCAGTTGTTGTTCCTCCAGTTTAATTAATTAAGGATGCCCTCAACTACATTACCTCCATTTCCCGCACTTCTGCTCTCAAAATCCCTCCCTCACCAACAATAAGGATATAGTCCCCCGAGTTCTCATATATCACCCCATCATCCTCCGACAATTCCGCCACCTACAATCAGACCCCACCACCAAAAAGATATTTTTCTCCCTACCCTTGTCTGCTTTCCGCAGGGACTGTTCATTCCGTGACTCCCTCACAAGCTTCACATTCCCCACCAACCCCTCCACCACACCCGGTACCTTTCCCTGCAACCGCAGGAGGTGCTACACCTGCCCCCACACCTCTCACCTCCATCCAAGGCCCCCAACAATCCTTCCAGATCAAGCAGAGATGCACCTGCACTTCATCCAACCTGATGTATTGTATCCGTTGCTCCCGATGTGGTCTCCTCTATATCGGGGAGACCAAACTCAGACTCGGACCGGTTTGCAGAGCATCTACATTCTGCATGCATGAACCAACCCAACCTTCCAGTTACCATCCATTTTAATTCCCCCTCCTATTCCCATGACAACATGCCCATCCTTGGACTCCTCCGCTTTCAGAGTGATACCAAACGTAAACAGGAGGAACAACACCTCATAGTTCACCTTGGGAGCTTACAGCCCAATGGCCCCAACATTTATTTCACCAGCTTCAAAATCCCTCCACCCCCAGCCTTATCCCATGTCCAGCCCTCTCCCTCCTCCTCACCTCTCTGACCTGACCGAAACTGTCCATCTTCCTAATCACCTATCCACTCCAGCCTTCCCACTGACCAATCACAATAACCCCCTACCTGCAACCACCTATCACCATCTCTCCTACCCTTCCCCCAGCCCCCACACCTCTTTCTCTATTTATTTCTGGGTTCCCCTCCCCAGTCCTGATGAAGGGTTCTGGCCCGAAACGTTGACTTTTCTGCTCCTCTGACGAGGTCTGACCTGTTGTGCTTTTCCAGCCTCACACCTATAGACTTTCAGAGCAGTATCCAATGACTAGTGGGTTAGTGTTTGGACCTAACTATTTGTATGACATATATGAATGATTTTGTTGAGGGAACTAAATGTATTAGCTCCACATTTACAGATGACACAAAGATGAGTGAGAGGCTGAACCGTGAGGAAAATGCAGAGATGCTTCAGTGCGATTTGGACAAGTGAGATGAGTGGGCAGTGCATGGCAGATGAAGTGTAATGTGGATAAATGTGAGATTAAACACTTTGGGAGCGAAAACAGGAAGGCAGATTATTATCTGAATGACGATAGATTGGGAATGGAGTGATGCAATGAGATTTGCGTGTCCTCATACACCAGTCACTGAAAGTAAGTGTGCAGGTGCAGCGGGTGGTGAAGAAGGCAAATGGTATGTTGCTGTTCATAGTAAGAGGATTTGAGAACAGGAGCAGGGATGTCTTGCCGTAATTGTTAAGGGTCTAGGTCAGACCACGGAAAGAATATTATGTACAAAAACAGAAGTTGCTAGAAAAGCTCAGCAGGTCTGGCAGCATCTGTGAAGAAGTTCTCTGCCACAGAAAATGACTGCCATCAAAACATGGAATGTTTGAAGAAAGAGTTAAACATCGTTTTTGAGGCTAAAATATCAAAGGGTATGGGAGAACATGGAAACAGGATATTGAATTGAATGATCAGTTATGATCATATTCAAAGGTGGTGCAGGCTCAGAGGGCTGAATGATCTACTGCTGCTCCTATTTTCGATAGTTCTGTTTATCTGAACATGTGCATCAGTGTGTGTGTGAACGTGTGCATCAGTGTGTGTGTGAAC